TAGCCCAAAAGCAAGAACAAAGGCCCAATCCAAGAAGCTCCTCGAGGAACGCGCGCCCAAGGATTCCCGCCAGCGCGCCCGACCACAAACTGTAGTCGTGCCTGCCGCTGCCCGCGACACCTGGTGTCCTTGACCACGGGAACTCCAGCTCGAGCCCCGCTCGAGCACTCTCCTTGTAGGGCAGATTCTGACTGTTACCAAATCATCTAAACTCCGGAAAGACCGCGTCTTCGTCCCTCCTCATTCTTTGCAGAGCATCACCAGGAAGGGGACCACGTGCGGGGACCCACTACACACGTAGAACCTGGCAGTTCCTTTATTGGGCCCGTTTTGGCCGGCCCAGTGAGGGGACCTTGGCCCAGCATTGGGGGATATAAATACCCTCTATTTCCAGAGGGTCAGGTATTCATCTCTTACGCATACATACACTTTTTGCCTGCTCATTTCGTCACTCATTTTAGCATCGGAGTGTCTTGCAGGTACCCCCTTCCCCCCCATCTCACTCAAAATTCTGCCCGAGCCAGCTGTGACGGTCCAAGTCTGATCAGGTAAGATCAGAACTCATTGACTTTATTTACTTTCTTGATTCTATTGATTTTTTATGATAAATGTTGACAAATTTGAATGCTCTAACGACCCTTGATCTTTGAAGTCCAAAGTTGACCAAAAAGTCAAAGTTTTAACTTTGGTGTGACAGTTGACTTTTCATCAGTTGATTCCAATTCTTTCACTATCATTCAATTATATCTTTGAAAATGTCTTAAGCCATATAATTAGGTCAAGATGGTGCATTTGAGTTCTTTGAATCATGCCTCAAGCCATTTTGGTCATGTACTAAGACAAAAGTCAATGATCCATTTAATCAAAACCCTAATTTGTTCAAGACTTATATTGATGAAGATTTCTTGATTCAAAACTCTGTTTGGCACAAAGAGCAAACACAAGATATTTTTGTATTTTATCAGAGATGCAATGATGTATATGAAGTGGGATCTTGGGTCAAAAATTAGGTTACAACATGAAGCTTCCTTATTTATAGGGGAATTGAGTATTGATGAAAGTGAGAAGAAATTGTGAGAGAATCGTGCCAAACAAGTGAACCCGATTATGTGTGTAAAGTGTGATCCACACAAGGTCAAAACAGACTCAAACCTTGCGTTTTAGGCACTAAACATTTTCTGGAATCTCATTAGAAGTGATTAGTGAAAGAATCATGTGCAAAACTTGCTTAATTTGTGAATTAACAAGTTCAAAAATCTGATTCTCGAGCAAAGATGTTAATCCATGGTGCCTTATTCAAAGATGCCTAACTCAAGATGTAGGAAGCTTTATGGCATGACTCCTTTTGCAATGGATAGTCTTCATCACAATATCCATAATGTGCCAAAAAGTTTCAATTTAGATACTTGAGCCGAGAGTTGTGTCCATTTGAATTTATGAAAAATACACTGATTTTTATACTTAGAAATACTTCTAAGTATAGACTTCCAAAATGATCTATAATGTTTTGCAACATTACAAAGTCTTCCACCCATAATTAGTTATTGATCCCTGAAGATGAAATAAAGTAGATTCTCCAAATGGAATTGTGGAATTGAAATCACTCAAAAATCATAAACAATGAGGGAGTTACGGTTCTTGGAAGATGGTGAAAATTTCTTGAGAAACCCACAAATGACCTATAAAGTTTCATTGAATTCCATATTTTTCCACACATTTTTAGATCTTGATCTTTGAATCAAAGTTGTATTAGACATCCTCAAGTTTATTGTGAAGAAATAATGATCTCAATAAGATAAAAATTGATTAAGTTATGATCCTTTGAAGTCAAGTCAAAGAGTTAAATGGCTTATTCAAAGGACTTGTAATCTTCTTCAAACTTAAATGATCTTCCACTAAAAATTGGCCTTAGATCAATGGAGATAAGTTGTTAAGGACTCTTTGAAGAGAATTATGACTTTAAAATCGCTTCAAAATCTCAAAAATTGAGCAAGATATGATCTTGGTAAGTTGACAAACAATTACAAAAGTGACTTGTAACATTCTTCAACTTTTGATGATTTTCCTTTCTCAATTGGATCTTGTCATGTAAAGAGAAGTTGTTGGTAAGGATGAGAAGAGTCAATGGAAAAAGAAACCACTTCAAAATATTGAAAATTGAGAGAATTATGCACTTGTGTCCATAGAATCAAGGACTTACCAAATTAGGTCAACCATCTTAAGTCAATTTTTAATCCTTTGATCTTTGCTTGCAAATTAGGGCACAGTAAAGCTCAAGAGACCTTACAATGATGTTATATTGAAGCACACTTGATGAAAAGGCTCAATGCTTGATGAAACTTATTTAATAAGGCATAGAAATAAACACATGAATCTATGAAGTTTCTTGATGAATTCAACCACTAACTTTGAGACAATCTTGACCAAATGAAATTGAGATAGTCCTCAAACCATAGAACTTTGATGCCATAAACATAGCCTTAAAGTTCAAGCCTTTAAAATCTACTAAATAACCAATTGATTGAGGATCATCCTTTAAAACCCTATCTTAGAAGGTGAGAGAGATGTACTTGGCTCAATACTTACAATGTACAAAGCATAGAGAAAAAACATACATTTTTTGGATTTTGGTTAGAGGTTAACAAACAGAAAATACATATACAAGATACACAATTCAAGGTGTTTGGTGATCCCTCAAGGACAAACTCAAAGATATGAGAGAATAGAAATGAGAACCAACCCTAATGTATAATTTTGATGTATTGTGGTATTATGAAGTGATGAGGGATCTTATGGGGGAAAATTGGGGTATAGCAGTGGTTACAATGAGTTAAAGCCTATTTCTATTACACATTTATGTATGTTCCTAACTTTGATGCCATGGCTTTTACTACTTTGATGACTATTTTGTTTGAATTCTCTTGGTGTTTAAAGTTAATGTTTTACATGATAAGATGGTTGTTTGCTTTGTCATGTATCTTTTGTATTTGTTTATATATCCATGTTATCCATGATTGATTTCTTTGTCAAAGTATGTTTCTATTTTTTATCTTTTGTCACAACTTTTACTTGATAAACATGTTGACTTTCCTCCTTTTAATACTTGCTCATCTTTGATTTAACTTTTTCTTAAATGACTCTCTTAAAAAGCCATGTTATTTTGTGATCTTGTCCTTAGCACTTATGATGTGTGTACTTTCTCTTATGTTAGTAATTAATATTGATATTTTGTTATATCTTGTGTCAAAATCCAAGGAAAATGATAGTATTGTTTTCTTTATAGTCATATGCATATGTATTATTTTTTAAGTTTACCCTTGTGTGTTATCCTTGTAATTGTTGATGTTTACCCCATGTATTCTTATGTACACTAAAGACTTCTTTTCACTTAACCCTCAAAATCAATTTTCAAACTTTCACCACTTTCATATAAAAACTTTGTTTTTGTGTCATTGCATTTTCAAACTTTCTTATTTAAATAAATGCTTCAATATACTTAAGCATATCAAAACATAGTTCAAAAGACTAAAAGTGATTCAACCTTACACAAATCTTTTTGCCAGTTGACTTTTCAATTTAAAACATTTTTTCAAAGAGATCGGATATAAATCTTCTTTATAGTTGAGATATGATTCTCCTATCCCCATAGTAATGATTGAAGCAAATGTTGATTCTTTCCACATAGGGAAATTAGTGGTAACTTGTTTATCTTTATATTCAAGTTAGTAGTCCTTCCTTTATGATGATACAAGATTCATCTTCTCATACTTGTGGTGATATTATTTAAGCATTTTCCTTAAGATGGTGAAATATCTATTCTCCTAAAAACAACCACAATAAACCATTTTGTTATTTTTACCATGAACTACAAGGTTTTGATCCTTAATTGGTACATAGGTATAAGACTATGACTTTCCAAACAAAAATATAATAAAAATATTTTCTTTTCCCATCTCCACACTCATTTAGGAAATAAATAATTTTAAACCAAAAACATATATTATAAGTGGTTCATATAGAGTACTATAGATATATAGAGTGTTACTGCATTCCCTTTGTATAACCAACCCTCGTACCTTCATAATGATTTCAGTTTGATAAAAAAACATTTATTCATTTTGATGAAAAACAATTTCAATTTTCAACTACTAGATTCATAATGATTTCAAAAAATAAAACTCATTACAATACTCAAATTTAGAATTCACATGATAATGAATCTTACCATGAATCGATAGAGTTGCAACAACAATTGAGTTTTATTATAATGAACGGTTTTCTCATTTTCAAACAAGGCATTGGAAAAATAAGGCGACAGAAATAAAACTAATATATAAAATGACAGAGAAACTGATAATAACTTTAAATGTTCTAAGAAATATACTTTCAAATTTATTTCTGAAGCATATTTTCAAACTTTTTTTATAAAATGAGGGTGTGACTCGTATAAACTTAATGCATTTGGGTTTGTTCGGAAGTGCAATTCTGAATTTGAGAAATATTTTCGAATTATCATTGGAATATAAGAGCAATCTTTAGGAACGGAAAAACAATTTCTTATACTAACTTCGAAGATGTGGCATTGGACTTCAATCATCCAAATATCCTATTGGCCCTTATAACACAAGTATCTTGTTCATGCCTTTTTTATCATATAGTAACATAATCTAACATCTCTTTATTGAAAATAAAGGTGCGATTCATTTAAGTATGAATTTAATATATATATATTTAAGATGCGTCCGAAAATACGTTGATAAATTTGAGTTTTTATTAGAGTCTAGGAGATAGAGTGGGAAAAACAATTCCCATTGAAAACTATGAAGTTAAATTTTCGTTTAAGGATTCCAGCCCAATACTATAATATAAGATTTGTTTAAAAAAATTAGTTGGCGCCACCTTGGAGTTTTCTGGAAGGATTGCCAATAGAAGAGACTACATATTCTTCCCCTCTTGTTATTCCATTGCTCGACTTATACGCAGACCACGGAGTATTATCAATGGCTTTCTACGCAAGATCAGCAATATCTCGTGCTCTCATTTTCACCATCACTTCACCTTTCTTCCACACCAAACTTGTCCGATATAGCAGATTCTCTACATCACTGTTCTTCTCTCTCACATCCACACCCATTTCCACAATTCAATCCCATTCTCCCAACTTCAATCCCATTCAACGTCATTTCACCTCCTCCAACAAAAACATAGACACCAAACTCAATTTCTCTCCTTCCGACTCCGACGAGGAAACCACCGCATTAACTAAGCCCACCACCACGAGTAGAAAACTACCACCACCTTATGACCCATTCAGCAAGAAGCCGGCAATAGAAGAACCCAAAGACCCTAAAGACTTGCAAGAAATCTTCCACAAAATGAGAAGCGGTGATGGGTTGTTGAACCATGCAGTCAAGATGTTCGACGCTTTGTCTAAACAGGGTTTAACACACGAAGCGTTAGAGCTTTTCGGTCAGATCAAAGATAAAGGCCAAATGCCAGATGTGGTGGCTCACACAGCGATAATTGAAGCTTATGCCAATGCTGGACAACCAAAGGAGGCTCATAAAGCTTACATGAGAATGCTTGCTTCTGGGGTTTTTCCTAATGCTTATACCTATACTGTTCTCATTAGGGGACTTGCGGTGAATGATAGGTTTTTGAAGGATGCCAGAAAGTATGTAGTGGAAATGTTTGAGAAAGGGATGAGACCGAATGCTGAGACGTATACTGCTGTGTTTGAGGGGTTGGTTAGGGAGGGGAAGATGGATGAGGCTGTGAAGTTGCTGGAGGAAATGAAGGGGGAGGGGTTTGTTCCTGATGAGAAGGCTGTAAAGGAGGTTCTCGGCAACAAAAAGGGACCTCTTTTTAGAACTGTTATAAACATTCTCTTTGGTAAATAGATAAAGCTATACTCACTCAAATGTCTGTGATTCTGTGTTGTGTGACTGGTTTGGAACATTTAATTTTGGGGTGGCAGAAAATATACTCGAATTTTGTTTCTTACTGTTATTGTTTCATGACCAGTAACATCATTCTCACTATAATCTACAACTATGATAAATTTATGGTAATCAGATGTTTTTGTTATTTAATGTATAAATACAACACCTACCAAACCTTATATCAATATATATAAACACAATATTGTTGATAGAATAGAACATTATAACATGGATCAAACTATGCATAATCCATCATTTATATTTAGTTTAATATAAACACAATACTGCTGATAGAATATTATAACAACTGTTGGATCAACTAGTGTGTAGAATAAAATTAAAAAAGAGAAATGCTAATAGCCATTATAGAATTTGTTAGTGTACTTAAAAATAAAAGTAAAAATTTAGTATCGATAATTCTGCACTTATTTTTTATAAAAAAAATTAAAAATAAATATTTTTAAAACATAACTAAAAATACACACACTCATTGGTGTATTAACAATAGAAATTTAATATTAAAAACTGTACATTCAATTTGAAAAAATTAAAAATAACTTTTTTCAAAACATATTGGTTGAAAAATCGCAAAATTCTAACACGTCCCTCTTAAAATTAAAGTTAGCATGCTTCAATAAAAAAAACGCCATAAGAATAAGGTAGGTAAAGTGAAATCTATGCTTATTTTTAGAACGGTTTTTACTCTTTCGAGAAATTCAAAATTTTCATCTATAATGAAAAAATAGGACAACCTATGAATCTATGATGCCCATCTTGAACATAATATAAGAGTATATTCACAAACGGGAATGGACTAAGTGACTTTCCTGTAGCCCATAACTTTGTCCTTCACAAACTCACTCAAATAGTATTTGTATGTTTGAAATAAACACATGGTTCATGTGGGGATAATAATAAGAAGGCATTTCTATATAACTACTCCTGTCTTTTTTGATGTTGAACAAGTAAAAGAATACGATGAACTCAAACTTTATGATATTGTAAATTTTACTCGATGATGAAAATAGAAAATTGAAGCTGTATAAGTAGTTTTACATAAAACTGTCTAAAATTGAAACTCTTAATTTTTAGCCTATTATGCTAAAGAATTGGACTTACTTAAACTACTCCTTTTGACTAGAAATTTATTAACCGACTAAAATTCAAATACTAATTAAAATAAATATTAATATTCCAACAATTCCTCCCCTAAACTAAGCATGCATGCTGCATTTTAGTTTAATCTTTTGTTGCTTGTATTACCAATTGCTTTCGAATTTTCTCAAATTGGTCCAATTTCAATAGTTTGGTCATGATATATGCAAGCTGATTATTTATTTTACAGAACTCGATATTAACAGCTCCATCCTTAATTAGATTTCTCAAAAAATGAAATCTCACGTCTATGTGTTTATTTCTCTCATGAAAAACTGGATTTTTGGCAAGCTTAATGATAGAAGAATTGTCGCAAAACATTGTAACACAATCAGATTGAGAACCTTTAATTTGTTTTAGAATGTGTTTCATCCAAATACAATAGCAAGCATAGGATGCAGTTGCTACGTATCCAGCCTCAGTTGTAAAAAGAGTAATTATTGGCTGCTTCTTGGATGCTCATGCAACAACTCCACCACTTAACATAAATACATAGCCTGAGGTACTTTTCCGGTCATCTATATCACCGGCATAGTCAATATCCATGTAAGCTACTAACTTGTCCTTGCATCCTTTCCAGTAGAAGATGCCTAGATCAATCGTTGACTTAATATACTTTAAAATTCTTTTGGCTGCAAGCATGTGTACTTTTTTTAGATTTGACATGAACCTACTAATAAGACACACAAAATACATTAAGTCAGACCTGGTTGCTGTCATATACATCAAACTCCCCACCATCTGCTTGAAAAGAGTCTCATCAACTTGTTTTCCTTCCTCTTCTCTAGACAGCTTAATACTTCCAGGGACTATGGTATTATTTACTCCATTACAATTTCTCATGCCGAATCTCTCGAGAATTTCTCCTGCATATTTCTTCTGGCTTATGTGTATTCCTCTCGCATTTTGACGCACTTTAACTCCTAGGAAGTACTTCATTTCGCCTAGATCAGTCATCTTAGATTCTCTTTTCATAGAATTTTTGAATCCTTGCATCATGATCAGATCATTACCAATAAAAATAAGATCATCAACAAACAGACTTACAATCAATATTTTCTCTTTTTCTTCGTTGACGAACAAAGTGTATTCATAGAAACTTCTTTTGAAACCTTCATTGAGGAAGTAGCTCTCGATTCTACTGAACCGTGCTCTTGGAGCCTGCTTCAACTCATAAAGTGCCCTTTTCAGTTTGTAAACTTTGTTTTCCTCCCCTTTTACTTCATATCCTTGCGGTTGTGATACATATACATTCTCATGCAACTCTCCGTGCAAAAATGCACTTTTGACATCTAATTGATAGAGTTTCCATCAATTTCTTGTTGCTAGAGCTATCACCATTCGGATGGTATCCCATCTTGCAATCAGGGCAAAAACTTCTTCGTAGTCTACACCTTTCTCCTGTGCATAACCCTTGGCCACCAAGCGAGCTTTGCACTTGCTAGCTTCACCGTTTTCATCCAACTTTGTTCTGTAGATCCACTTTACACCTATTATTTTTGCTTCTGAGGGAGGTTGAACTAGCTCTTAGGTTTGGTTCTTTTTTATTGTTGCTATTTCCATGTCCATGGCATCTCTCCAATTTTTCTCTTTCACTGCTTCTTCATAATAAATTGGATCAGTAGACATAAACATAAGAAAATTGTGTGCCTCATCTTCTGAAAATCCACCTCCACTTATATAGTCTTGAAGGTAGATTGGAGTTTTTCTTGTTCTCTTCGCTAAGGTTGGTGGAGTTGTCGCTTCATTTGAAGAGGAATCCTCAGTTTCTAAGTGTTCTTCTTCTTATTCGCTCGTGGTATTTTCATCTTCATGTTCATCTAATTCCTCAAGTGCTTCCTCATAGGCTTCGCCCCAATCAAGTACATCACTGTTTGATTTTGCATCTGGCCTCCCCCAATTCCAGCAGCCATCTTCCTCAAATATTACATCTCGACTAATTGTTACCTTCATAGTTAAAGGATTTATAATTTTGTATCCTTTTGATTTCTCGTTGTATCCAATGAATACCTGCTTTTGGCTTCTAGCATCAAGTTTGAGTCTTCTTGCTTTTGGTACATGAACATTTCCTACACATCCGAACACTTTAAAATATTCGACACTGGGCTTGAAACCACTTCAACACTCTTCTGGCATCTTGTCTTTTACAGCAGATGCGGGGCTTCTGTTGAGCACATGGCATGCCCATTTTGCGACTTCTGGCCAAAACATTTCGGACAGTCTCTTCTCTTCCAATATGCAGCGTACCATATTCATAATTGTGTGATTCTTGCGCTCAGCGACTCTGTTTTGTTGAGGTGTATAAATTGTGTCAATTGTCGCTTGATTCCTTGAGCTTTACACAAGTTTGAAAATTCATTTGAATTGAATTCTCCTCATCTATTTGTTCTTAAACAACACACTACCAAACTAGTTTCCTTCTCTGCCATGATTTTAAATTCTTTGAAAATAGTGAAGGCTTCACTTTTCTCATTTAGAAAGTAAACTCAAAGTTTTCGACTGAAATCATCAATGAATGTCAATATGTACCTTTTGTTTCCATGTGAGTCAGGAGAGATTGGACCGCATATATCAGAGTGAATAAGTTGCAGTTGTTGTTTGGCTCTCTAGATGCTTTTCTTAGGAATAACTTCTCGATGTTATTTTTCGATCATGCAGCTTCTACAAATTTTTGATGAAGCATTCAATTTTGGAAGCCCTCGAACCAATTTCTTGTTATGCAACAAAGCCAAATTTTTATAGCTCAGATGACCAAACCTTTTATGCCATATTTCATCAAGGTTATCGACATTTGCTTTGAAGCGTGTAGACGTTGATATAAGAGTGTTTGTTGTCACAAGGAACATTCTGTTGGTGGTCATCATGCTTTCCATAATGCAGCCTCTGTTCGGATGATATAGCTTGCAAACTACATGCTTAATTACAACTGTGATGTCTCGATCTTGGAGCTGCCCAATACTCAGTAAATTGTTGCATAATTCAGGAATAAAAAATACATCGCTTACAGTTTGAGTGCTTCCTCAGATGTTTCCTTTCCCATTACTTTTAGCTTTGAGTTATTTCCAAGCTTAACTGAGTGCCTGAAGCTTTCGTCCAACTGTACGAACCATTCCTTGTTTCCTGACATATGATTTGAATATCTGGAATCAAGAAACCATACTCCCTCTTTCTTGTTTTGATGAGAATCTGCTTGTGTCATCAGCAACATCTCTTCGTCTTCGTTACACAGCATAATTCACTCTTTTTTTCCATGTTGGACACTCATACTGATAATGTCCCAAATTATGACACTTGTAGCATTCCACAGCAGCCCTACTTGTAAATGATCTGCCTCGACCTCTTCCTCGGTCTCTCATTATGGCTTTGCCTCTGCCTCTTTCGTAACGCTCTTCGTGTGTCATCTTCAATGCCTGCTCCTCCTCATTTGAACCCTTCATTCTTTTCTCATGGATAAGGAGGCTGCTTTAGAGTTCATCAATTGTTAGTTTCCACGTTGTTAAACTCCTCAATGGAGCACACAACGTAGTTGAATTTTGTCACAAGAGACCTCAAATTTTTTGACGTAATATCGTTTTCTTTCACATTCTCTCTGCAAACATTCATCCGATTTGCTTTGGAAAAAGCTCGTCCAAAGTTTGCATTGACGGATTCTCCCTCTTTCATCTTCAGTACCTTGAACTTAGTTTGAATTTTTGCTTCATCGAGTCCCGTATCTACTCCAGAATTTCTCTGCTCTCGATTTTGTGGACCAACAACCACTCCATCCTCGACCAAGTTCCATCAGTTTTGCCCAATACTCAATACTCATAAAAGCCATCAAATTTATGAATAACTAATTGCACAAATTTACTATTCCTGCTGCTACCAGTCATTCTCACAAATTTCTTTAAATTCTCTATAGGCCTCTTTAATGAGGCTTTAATACCAAATGTTGAACAAGTAAAGAATACAATAAACTCAAACTTTATGATATTGTAAACTACTCAATAATGAAAACAGAAAATTGAGGTTGTATAAGTAGCCTTACATAAAATTGCCTAAAACTGAAATTCCTATTTTTCAGTCCACTATGCTAAAGAATAGGACTTACTTAAACTACTCCTTTTGACTAGGAATTTATTTACGGACTAAAATTCAAATACTAATTAAAACAAATATTAATATTCCAACAATTCAAATACTAATTAAAACAAATATTAATATACCAACAATTCAAAATACTAACTAAAACAAATATACAGACTAAAATTCAAATACTAATTAAAACAAATATTAATATTCCAACAATTTAAATACTAATTAAAACAAATATTGATATTCCAACATTTGAAACGTGGAGGTTCAAGCCGGTGATAAACATGGCGGCTGTACAGACAAGTTAGCATCATACAGTTTTCGCTCTGGCAGAATATCACTGCCGCAGCACAACCGATAAATCAATTTTACAACAAGGAGAAAGAAAGGGAAAAAAAACTGAGATCAAAAGCGGGAACTTCTATGGGGAGTGGATATAACCAAATAGGAAAGATGTTGTAAAAGCAACTTGGATTTTGTAAATCTTTCCGAAAGCACATTCAATTTCTTGACTATTTAGGCCATCACCAATGGCAAGTCAATTCTAGGACAAGGTGACACCAATATTGAATGTGTTCCAACTAAAAAAAGTCTTGATTTTTGGGACACTCTGACGCCAGATGCCCTGATTCTCCGCAATTAAAACAGGCCCCTCTGCAACGCACATTCAGATGCCATAAGTTATTAGTATACCCTAAATATAAAGCAAACAGATTTTTTTTTTAAATTACCAAACAAGAGCAAAACAGTTACTATACAACTTATGTAATGTTACCTGTTTGGTGATGAAGATCTGTTTGGCGATGAATATCTGTTTGGCGAAGAAGTTCTGTTTGACGAATATCCGCTTGACCGTCTACCTCCACTTAAAAAGTCATCCCCACCAGATCGTCTACCTCCACTTAAAAAGTCATCCCCACCAGATCGCCTACCTCCACTTGACCAGTCATCCCCACCAGATCGCCTACCTCCACTTGACCAGTCATCCCCACCTGATCGCCTACCTCCACTTGACCAGTCATCCCCACCTGATCGCCTACCTCCACTTGACCAGTCATCCCCACCTGATCGCCTACCACCGGTTAACCAGTCATCCCCACCAGTTCTATAACCTCTCTGATCCCTAGAACCTCTCCGAATACTTCTATCTCTATCAAGTGTATCAACGCCTAACCTGGTAGATAATTCTGGTAAATCTTGCATAGGTGGTGCACTAATAAATTCAAACTGGGAGCCTATGTCACGCTCAAACAACATAACAGTTCTTTTCTGGGTAGCGGTGTACATTACTACAGCAGCACCCTCTTTTCCAGCACGTCCAGTACGACCAGAGCGGTGAACAAAAGTCTCGGGACCATCGGGAAGTTCATAATGTATAATCTGAAGAGAGAGAAAACAATGAAATACCAACAAAGTTTTCAATATGTTATATGTTGAGTTGAGATATACAGCAGTTCAGTATTAGGCCAAACCATTAAAACCTTGTATTACAAATGGATACCTTAAACTTATGTGATGGTATACAAAATCGAAATTGCTACAAAAGAATTAAACCAAGCAATCTTATGAAATATTTATAATTGGCAAGTCAGATTAACTAACTCACAGTGACAAAGGTTGGGAATAAGGTCAGACTCAGACGTAGTAGAAACATCAAATATCTCCTTATATCAAAATAAACAATCCAAATTTCATACAACAGGCAACCCAAACTAAGAGTTGGGATATCTTTATCCTGAATAAGTATACTTTCTTAATAGAGATAACAATATCTCAAAGACCAAATTTGTATACACTAAATTTTCAATAAATAAGTTAAAACCAAAATCTTCAATTTAAAGCCATAAATTCCAATTTCCAGATAACAATAATCCACATGGTTGGGCTTATTACTAAAGCCTTCGGTTGGAATTATATATTAAAATGCATGGTAAAATATTAAAATCTGCTAGAATTTGAGCAGTTTTTCATAGAACCGGGACTGTAGCTAAGAAGTTTGGACATGGAGTAAAAAAACATCACTTTGAACTTACCAAGTCAACATTGGGAATATCTAGTCCACGAGAAGCAACGTCAGTAGCAACAAGCACTGTGAATCTCCCTTGCCGAAAACCATTCAATGTTTTCTCTCTCTGATACTGAGAGATATCACCATGCAGTGCTTTAGAAGCTATACTATTTGATAATGACAGTGCTATTTCATCAGCATCCCTTTTTGTCCGTGTGAAAACAATAGTCTTCCCACCCTTTCCATATGCCTAAAAGACATGATAACATACAACAGAATTATTGAACTGCCTTCTCTTGTATTCAAGAGTAACTTGAAGACATTTGGAAACATATAACTAACAGATTTAATGTGGTGTGTGTGAATCTTGCAACAGAAAAATGAGTCTCAGAGAATAGAAAGCCATAAGTTTGTGCCAGGTAATCAACATGAACTACTTCTCAACATCAGAATTCAGAATGATGATAAAAAAAAGTAGATCAATGTGCACGCCGCCAAACCATGGAGTTTCTTTTAAACAGTTGGTAACCTGCTTCTGAACAACAAGTTTTTATTGTATTATTTCAAATAGTGTGGGGTTTTACTCACCACATCCACTAAACAAAACCTCAGAGAAGCCAACTGTAGGTACTACCAAACAACAAGCTAATACTGTGAAAATGACAACAACTTACATTTATAAGACCATAAAGAATTCTCCGCTTTGATGACGCAGTGGCTGGTACAGCATAAAGTTTGATCCCCTCAGCAAGCTTTTCTTCTCTATCACCGACCTTGTTAAAAAGAAAAGTGAAAGCCATCATAACCATTTTGTGGGGATTAAAACACATCATAATAACAATAACCTAAAGATCAGTAAGCACAATTCCGGCTGCTTGACAAATAATTAGAAGAAAAATGCAAATTAGAAGATATTGATTCAAAAGTGATGCAAGCTATCCCTGTATACAAACTAACAAATATACATTCAATTATACTTTATTCATGTATATTTGGAGAGAATAGATATTAAAAAGTAACAGCAATTTTACCAAATCAATAGTCAATGGATTGTTCAAATGTTTTCTTGACAACTTCTTGACCCAACCCGGCATGGTTGCAGAGAAAAGCATGATTTGCCGCTGAGACGGGATCTTTTCTAAAATCACTTCCACATCCTCCTCAAACCCAACTGCAAGCATCTGATCAGCTTCATCAAGTACCAAATACTGAATTTCACTAAGTCTAAGGCTTTTCCCATTTATCAAGTCAATTAGCCTTCCAGGTGTTCCGACCACAACATCAACACCACGCGAAAGCGCATTCCTCTGAATATCATAAGAAACACCGCCATAAACACAAACAGTGTTTAGATAAGGTGCAGATTCTTGTATCTCCTTCTCTACTTGCTTAGCTAACTCCCTAGTTGGTGCAAGGACCAACACTTTAGGAAGTCGCCCAGATCGCCTGAGATGAAAAGAACGTGGAAATGTCTCAATACACATAACACACGTTAAGAATTAACCAAATAGGTTTCATAAATTATGATGCATGGATAATGAATCACCTCATTGTGCTTTGTCCATTCTCAGTGAGACTCTTGATAATTGGAATTCCAAATGCTAGCGTCTTCCCGGTCCCAGTCCTTGCACGAGCAATGATATCTCTACCTTCTATTGCAGGTAGCAAGACAGCTCTCTAATCAACAAGAAAAAGGTAAATTTGCATAAGTTTAACCAGAGTCAAAACCAACAAATATTTTTTTGTAAGAGGCAAATGAACCACAGTAAAGGCATACATGTGTAAATAGTACTACTACTAATAGTAACAACAACAATGTTTGGTTTAAAGTTGGCAAAGTACATTTGATTTATACTTTTCCATAGTCCATTAGTGAAACCAAGTGTGTTCGGTTTATCTTTTGGCAGAGGCACAAGCAATTCTTCTAAAGTAGAATTGGTTCTGCCTCAAAAATTGATTCTACTCGAAGCTAGAATTTGTTTGTTTGGCAACAATGCACGTCACTGCTGCCGCACGTTCATACCTTCTCCAGCGTGATTTATCAAAAGCTACAATGGCTAGCTTTTAGACGCCGCACAGTCATATCGTGATTTTCAAATGTAACCAAACATAGGCTTTGTAGCTTTTGAGTTTAAACGTGATTTTTACATTAAAATTTACCGTTCAACTCAATTTTGCATAAAATTATCCAAACATATAAATCACTTTAAATTCAACTCAATTTTAACCAGAATCAATTAATAGAGAATCAATTCACTCAAAATCAAATTTTTCACGGCAAAACCAAACAAGTTTGGCTTCAAACGCTCGTTTGCACAGAAGCAAATTCTCATATGCTTTTTCATTTTTCTTTTGCTTCAGAGGTTTCATTTACCATTTTCATCAATATCTCTTGCACAACATTATAAAAGTAATATGATTTTATGAAAACTACACGTTGAAAAAAAAACCATTTGATAAGTATCATCTAAGCAAATTATATTGTCAACATACGTTTGAGAAAAGTTACTCATGTTGGAACGTTGGAACGGAATCAATTTTAAGCAAACTTAATTTTGCAAAATTTTATCCAAACATATAATAATTCAAACCAATAACATAACGGAATCACGTACCATTTTACACTGGTTGAAACTAAAACTACAAAAAAAGTTTTATACCTGAATGGGGAAGAGATTGGTAATTCCTCTTCTTCGGAGCGAGTCCACAAGCTGGGGAGGAAACTGAAGTTTGGAAATGTCGAGTTCATCTTTGCTGACGGCAACAGGGAGGTGGTTGAGCTGGTCGTTATCGATGTCAAAACCCTTGAAGGCTTCTTGAGCGGTGAGTGTGGGAGTGTTGGGAGTGTCAATTGCGGAGATAACGAAAGAAACGGCGGGGGTTTTGTGGTTTGGTCGGAGACGGAGAAGGGGGGCGAAACGGGAAGTGTTGTGAAGTGAGAAGGAGGTTGGGGTTTTGGGAAGGTGCGGAGAGGGAGAAGTTCCAATGGTACTGGAAATGGAAGCCATTTCGTTAGGGTTTGGTTTGGTTGAGAGGAGAGGAGATGGAGCCGAAAGGAGATAAGGCCGCACAGTGTGGAAGTTGAGTAAGATGGCCTTTTAAACCTCCACGTCTTTGTTTCTTGTGTGGCTGTGTAAGAATTACGGTGTTAGTGACCGAGGTTCTCTTAAGTGTCAATAATAATCTAGATATTTTTAAAGATAATCTCCGTTTAAAATTATTTTAATGTTTATTTGTTTCAATTGAATTATCATTTTAATTTTAAAATATTATATTAACTTTTTTTTCTATAATATATATATATGTCATGGGTAAGGAGACTATGAGACTTTAGTAGATTTATAATATAATATGGTGGTTAAGGCTTGTCTATGATGGCGAAAATTTATGCACGGTAATATTTTGAGATGGTTTAGGAGATTTGCTCGCGTGAGGTAAAAGGCTCTGATGATGATCGGTGATGTTTGATAGCAAGTGTATGGTTACAAACAGTCGTGTGTTAAGATTGTAATGATCATTGTGCTCTTTAGGTTGTAGAGAATGTGTATCACTTGGAGTCCGCCTCTTCTTCTTGAGAAGAGATGTATTTATGGAGATTTCTAGGACCTAGGTTTTCCTTGGAAAGAGTCGTTGTCCACTTAATCAATAGCGGACAATTGAATCCTTATTTTCAAGGGAATTGTGGGTCAGTTAGAGACCTTGACTTTTTCTCTACCCGAGAAACGTTTTATCTTATATTTCTCATGTAGGGCGTTGTCGCACGTGTAATAATGCGAAAAAATGTAGCGGTAAAGATTTGAGACTAAGTCATCAATTGACTTATCTCAACATAATGAAGTCACCACCGCACTTTTATTTTATTCAAAAGAATGGGGAAAAACGAACAAATCCAAACTGAAATAAAAGATCAGAGATTAAGGTACGGGAGTCGGTTATGCAAAGGGAATGTATTAGCACCCTAAGCATCTACGGTATTATGTAGGATCCACTTTGTTTGTTTTAAATCAATGAGTGTGTTATCTAAAGTTTAACCTTGCTAAAGGAAATAAATGAATGAGTATTTGCAAACAAAAGGAAATAAAATGTTTTTTTTATTATTTTTGCTCGCCTTGGGTCGTAAGACATAGTGCCTACGTATTCCCTCATACAATGGGAAAGTCAGAGTACCGTAGTTCGACTAAAAAAGACTTGTCTGTTGATTGATTTTAAATGAAGAGACAATTCGTCATTTTTAATGAGAAGACTCGTCTAAACGCCCATAAGGTATGATAAAGAAAGAAGGACTATGCACCAACATAAGGGGGTTTGAGGACACCTCTAGTACTCAAGTGGAGAAGTCGACAACCATGGAGATAGAGGAATAACATCTCGATTATAAATTAATCATGTCTAATCTTAGAAAAATGTTTTAAAGGGTAAAGGTGCTGGAGCGCAGAAAAAGGTTTGAATGAGTTGAAGTGTTTTTGTTAATTTTGAAAGATGTCAAAGTATGGTTAAATGAATTGAAGTTTGTTTAAAGAAAAGAAGTTTTAAAAGAAAAGGCACTCGACAAAGTCGAGGATTATTATGAAAGCGGTTAAAATTTATAAACACATAAGGTTTTGAAGAAAAAAAGATGAGAAGGTTTTGAAAATTAAAAATGGGAGGAGAGATGAAGATATTATCATATGTACAGGAGGATAAAATATAAGGTAAAGAGGATCTGACCGAATAAGAAACTAATACTTGACATGATAAAATCACTACAGTATTCTCATTCCTTTGAATTTAAAGTCACAGATAGATAAATAAGCCAAGAGTATACCAAACCTCGGGTGAAAATCAATCACAAACCGGCAACATCAAAGAAACCCAAATGTCAGATAATACTTCAAGCATTGGATAAAGTGCATCGAATCATACGCGAGGAGCACATGTCGTGAAAATAAATCACGGACGAAGAAAGTATAAATAAACCCGAGAGATCAAATAGGCACAATGTATCGTATAAAACTCACGGTATCAGATAAGGCTCAAGGAAACGGATAAAGCTCAAATATCATATAAGAATCCCTACATCGTATGAAATATACAGACAAATCCAACAGCACGGAGAAACTTATTCGAAATCTTAATTAAAACTCAAGTGTAAATTACTGAACATTGCACTTTATTAAGTATATATTTATAATAGATTCATGTAGGAATCAACTCTAAGTGATCAGACAAAATTATATGCGTCCGTACGATTTTCAAAAGTTAACTTGAACTAAAGTTTAAAATTGCAACACAGTGAAAAGAATATCAACATAAATTGAATTTATTTACAATTGAATTGAATAAAATATAAAATTAAAAGTATTATGTATAATTATATAGTTACATTACTAAATATTGAATCGAAATATTAAAATAAATACAATGAAAACATAATTAAAAAAAAGTATAGAGACGCTAAGAGGAAAATGAATGATTGCGCCATCCTTGAAAATCTTCATAATAACAAACTTGTTAGTAGCATAAGAAGAATAAAAATGAAATAAAATGAAATTGCAACAATTATAATATGTGTTAGTAATCACAAGGTATAAAATCAAAATGAAACTTGCATGAATGCACATGAACAAATGAATATTTTACAAGTGAAAATCAGCATGGTGTTTGTCGTTCCAAACATCTTCAAAGTCGAGTAAACACACGGTAAACATGGTTAAATTCACAAACGAACCAGGAATCCAAAAATTCATTCTATTGTTCAATTTCACTTCAAAACATGATAAACCAAGTTCGCAACAAGTTATAATCAAACAAAACAAAATCCAGGCAGCAACTTAACTTACACGAGAGAGCTCAATATTCCATCTTAATTAAACTCACAACACATGGAAATAGAATCAAATTCTAAAAAAAGAAATAAACTAAAGCAACATCAAAACTTCTTTCAAATTAAGTTCAAAAAACATGTCACAACGATAAACTCAACTCAAGATTCAAACCAAAAATATCATATCACCATCAAAAGTTCTAATTGGTTCTAAATCATGATATTATTGTCATAATTTCAACGTAGGGATCTCAAGCGAATACAATGACAACACCAACCAAAACCAAAACAAGTTATTACAATCAAGAAACAGATGTTGACATCAATACATACCAATCGAATTCAACACGAATAACCTCATTCCATCATCAAGAAACTATAAACCGATGACACGCGGTAAAACAAACAGAACTCTAACATGCTAAAAGAAGTTAATAGCACAAACTCCATTGAATTTCATCATGATCCAAGCACAAACAAACCAAAACTTTCAATGAGACAACATGATATTGACACAAATATTGCCATGTCCCAATACAAACACAAGATATTGTCAATAGAATTCGAGAATCAGTTTAACATTAATAATAATGATGCTATTTAAACTTTGACATTCACCTTAAAACTTCAAATGTTCAATTAAACAGACAGACAATTAACAGTTCCAAAATCATACCTGCTCACTATCTATACACATTCCAGTCAACATGCTTAAGATACACAAAGATAATCACAAACAAATATATGCCATTTTTCGTGTTTAACTGCATAGCAACATCAAAATCAAGCATCCAAATCATAACATAGATATTGCACAGAAGATGAGATTGTTTACCTATTTGAAGATGACGACTTAGTCCGAATTTTTTATTGTGTTGTGTGAAGGCAGAAGTTGTTGGTGTCAGAAATCCACTCAGAATGACTTACTCTCGTTGAAGACGCTGATGGCGGATCCTCCGTTAAGGAATGAACTTGTTCGGTGATACATGTTGTTGTTGATGTTACGGAGGAGAGTTGTTGTTCAGTTACGAGGTCACTGTGAAGAAGAGGGTTATTGTCACAGTAGTGGTGGACAAAAACAACTGGTGGTGTGGTTTTGTTGGTGATGAGCGTTGAGTGGAAACAGAGGGAGTAGTTGCAGATTAATGGTGTTTGTTGTTTTAGGATTTTGAAATATTTTCCACCAAAGAAATTACTAGGTTGAATCAGGGACTAGGCCACTCTCTTTAAGACGTTTCGCAGCACTGCTCAAAATTATACAAAGTAGTCGAACTACTGTGCCGCCTCCAGGATAAAGCAACCCAATTCTATACTATACAATTACTACTTGCATGGTAGATAATCAATCAAGTAATACACCCTCTGATGGTACAAGACCATTCAAATATGATATCAACACCACTGGTAGTATCTGGTACAAAGACCAGTCATAATAATTTCTCAAACCAAGAGAAAAACTCAAATAATTCTCCAAAGAGAAATTAATAATGGTTATTTGACCACTCATAATAATTTCTCCAACAAAGAGAAATTCAAATAATTCTACAAAGAGAATCCAAAAAATTAAACTTGAAAATTTCTCAACTTAAATGAGGAGAAATTAACATAATTCTCTAAAGAGAATTCAAGAAAATACTCGGAAAATTCAACGAGTAGGAAGAAAGTGGAAGAAGATGGTGCTTCGACAATTCGAGAGACACTGAGTTATGAGAGTGAGGAAGGAAAAACTAATAGAATAGTTTTTGGTGTGATCTGGAATGAAACATGTGCACTCCTTATATGATGAAGTAAGGTAGTTAATATTTCTCACATGAGCAATGTGGGACTAAATGGTTTTTTTTAACCAAAAAGATATTCTAACAATGTGGGACTTGAGCAATTTTTAAATTCAACATATTGGAACATGGACATGTTCCAACAATCCCCCACTTGAATTTAAAAAATTGATTTTAGAAGTAACGTTAAACGTTTCTAAGATTGTGCATAAACAAAGGTGTCTACGACTTGAACCTTTGCATAGCAAGTAAGATTCCAATTCAACAAGAGTGACACAAATGTATTGAACTTTATCTCAGACATCAAACACGCACACAACCTTTTCTTAAGATGTATTCTAATAGCCCGTGCTTTAATGGACCTGCACGTGTATCCCAGTTTAATGAAGGCTCTAGGAATTCTGCCTCGAAATTCCGTAGGAACCGGCCT